ACAATTGGTGCATAACTACCTCTGTCTAGCACAATTCCATAGCAAGACAGAGATGCCTGGTCTCAAACATTTGGGAAAAATAAATAGATAAAATAAACTGTAAGAAAATCATGGTGCAGTGGGATGGGTATGAAAGATGAAGCAGACCAGAGCCCATGAGCGTTTCCACAGCAGTTGAGGGCCTGGTACAAGCTCATGGGGCTTCGCCCACTCAAACACGTCTCTTACCAGCGGTAGCTGCGGTTGCCGTAGGTACACCGGATGTCTTCCCAGGACACCTGGACACACACAGACACATAGAGTGAAGCACCCAGAGAGCACAGGGCGCTACCTTCCACCCTCCCTCACTCCTCCCAACAGACTTTCCTGGGGACTCTCAAGACCCACAGTGTCTGCTGATAAATGGCACAGAAGCAAAGTGTCTCTTCATGCCTTCTCCTCTCTGTTTAAACGTGGTTATGCTCGGCCTGGGGTTCTAACTTCACATTTCTACCTCTCCTTGCTCTCCTTAAGTTTCCTGCACAGCTTGGGGATGCAGGGCACTGAGCCTAGCACGCCGAAGCCCTGGACGTGGAGCCAAGTGGACTCTGGGACAGCGCTGAGCCAGATGGGGACCTCATGCAGAAAACAGCTGCCAGGCCCATACACCGCCCCACACAGAGGCCAGGGCCACACCTGGCCTCGGGTGACTTCGAAGACCCACCCAGCCCTGGGCTCAGAAGATGCTGGACAGCGCTAGCTGGGGGCCACGGCAGTTCTGGGCAGAGTCCCTCACCTCACACACACTGGAGTCGTTGAAGCAGAACCACCGTCCGTCCGCGGAGCTCCGGATGTAGGCGCAGTAATGGCCGAAGTTGGGCAGCCCCACGTGCGCGATCACGGCAAAGAGCTCATACTGTCCTCCGAGCTGGAAGGACCGCAGAACAGGCGGCTCACCCGTGGGCCCGCTTCCCAGCCCTGCCTTAGAATGAGGAGACGTTTCCCTGCACATTTGTCTGGGATCTACTCCACGTCGGCCTGGGGCCTCAAGGGGCCTCCAGAACAGTCCCTGACTTCAAGAATGTTGCTGCTAAATAAGCCAGAATCAGAATGCCGTGTTTTATACCAGGCGATATTACAGGCAAATTCAGGAAAACCCACTGCTGCCCAATAAAGGAAAAGGCACACCAGCTGCGGAAAGGCCGAGGAGCTGGGGAAGAGCCCCCCCAGACGTGAGAGATGCTTGCAGGGACCTGCAGAACGAACAAGATCGGTGGACAAGCCCTGGGAAGGGGGCCACCTGAACATGCACCCAGAAGCCACGGAGGTTCCACAGCACAGCACTGCGGCGCGTCCTGACGATGTGGACACGGGACGGGAGTGGGGAGTGCCTCACCTGGCCCTCGCCATCGCAGGGGGAAGCGTCCTCCGTCAGAAGGACCTGACCCAGGTCCAGTCTCTGGGGGAAATGCAGGGAACTGCAGAGTTTTTCTGTCCGTGAATTCCTGACGGAGAACCGCATGAGGTGGATTGTCAAGGTCTGGGGCAGACGTGTCAGCTTCAAGACCTACGGAAGCAAAACCACTGTGGAGATGAAGCCCTCGGGCACTGGAAACGGGGGGACAGCACAGCTGACACGGGAGGAGGGACGCAGGAGAACACGATGCAGAGCGGGGCCCCAGCGGAGACCAAGGCCTGAGCTGCCCCAGTTCGGCTGGGCAGCTGCACAGAACCCAGGGCCACAGTGGAGTCGCTGGTGGAACTCCTCCAGCCTGGAGGGAAAATTCGTCCCCAGCTCTCAGGCCCACCCTTCTCCTTCAGAAGCGGTCTCTCCCCATGATGTCGGCGGAGGAGCCCCAGGACCCTGGGCTGCCAGGGGCTCTATGAAGGGTCTCTCAGGGGCAGCCCCTTCCGGGAGGTGCTAATCTCTGGAGGGAATACCTGTTGGCCGCTGGTCCTCCTCCCACAGTGCTTGCAGAAGCACCTGCTCTCTCTGGACAGCGGCCTGGGCTGGAAGAAGCAGTGAAGGGCCTCCTCCTGTCCACGGAACGAGAAAACAGGCAGGGTCGGTGTTCCCCGTCCAGAGCACAGCCTGGCCCTGCAGTGGGAAGTCAGCTTCCCTTCTGGTGTCCCCACTTCCCCAAATCTCGGGTCCAGACTGGGGTCCACGGTGGGATGCTTCTCCATGGTGCCTGCTGATCAGAGGGGAAAACAGGACAGGGCACCTGAAAGCATAAACAGGAGGGAAGAAATTTTTTTGCCAAATCAAAGGACAACTTAGCCAGAGCCACACAAAGAAGACAGAAACGATTTTTAAATGCCAAGCGTGAACTGTAGAAGCCCGATTACTGAACTAAGGAAGCAAGAAGGTGAAGGGGTTCAACAAAAAGACATTTTATAACGAACAGACAGAGAAACAGCATAGAGACAGTCAGACAGAAAGGGGTGGGGGGCGAAGGGGGGGAAAGGGGGATAAATGAAACAGAAAGAGACTGCTGGGGTGGTGGGCACACGAAATGTGTGTGCAGACGTGTCACTGACTTGTGCACTCGAAACCTGAGTGGTCTGGCGAACCAAAGTCCCCCTAGGACCGCAATACACTTCCAGGGGGCTCTGGGCTGTGAGTGAACAGGAAACTCACCAGGAGAAAGCCCCTTACCAGTGTCCCCAGGAGGCGTGAGTCCGAGTCGAAGAGAGAAAGCGGGAGGGTCAGCAGGCTGCTGTCCGTGCTGCTCTGCCCAGCACAGTCCAGGCACACGAAGGTCTCCCTCGTCTGGATCGTGTGCAGGGCCTGCAGCCGCTCAGCCTGCACGGGAGGAGGGGGGTGGGGGAGAAAGGGGCCACAGCCGTCAGCAGGCCAGGCCGGGACCATTGGCAGAGCTGGAGCCAGCCCACCGAAGCCCACGAAGTGGCAGCTACTAATGCTCCCTGCCCTCCTCAGAAAGGTGCAGACAGTGACATTGACAATCTCATGGAGCTGTGACCTGCATTTTACATGATTCTCTCTCCATCCTCTCTACACATCTCGTTGACCACTGCTGAGTGAGCTGAATGAGCGGCGTCTTAAACCTGTGCTCAACCCTAGAGTCTCACCAGGTGCACGTCCGTCATCTGGTCCTTAATGAGGTTCCACACTGTGAGACAAAGTTGAGCAGCATCATGCTGGACAGACACTGGCCAGAGAGAAAAGGCACAGCCCGATTAGCAAGTCCCCGAGGACACCGCTCAGACCCTGGGGCCTGGATGCCGTGAGCACTCGCCACCCTGCGTCTTCCTGCCTTGGCCCTGTTTTCAGGCCCCGTCTCCACGGATGTCAGGTGCCACCAACGGAGAACGGGCTCGGTGCTGGTCGTTGAGAGCTCCTCTTAAAACTTAACATCCAAGTTTTCTACCTCTGGTTTGCCACTCACCCCCAGGGGCCTCCACTCAGGGACCCAACGAGACAGAACCAGCAGTCAGCGTGCATCCTGCCCTGTCCAGGCAGGGCCAACACTTGACTTGGATTCCTATGGCCACTCATGCTCTGCGCCTTTATGTATTTTCCTCATTCACTTCTCTAAAAATCGAGCTTTTCTCAATACTCGTATCTGAACCAGGTCCTCCCCAACAGTGTCCAGAAGAACAAGAACAGAAAGGACCACCGCAGAGGTAGGGGAGGCAAGGGAGAAGCGGTGAATTCCGCATGTGTGACGGAAGTGGATGTAACGCTCAAAGTGTAAGTGCAGAAGCCTAGGAGAGAGACCTAGGAGGACAGAGGAAATGGAAACATGCCGAGGGCTCTCTCACCAAAGGGCAAAACACAAAGACGCTGCAAGAAGGGTCACTGTTGTGAGTATACCAAACAGTCACGTCTGCTGCCTCGGCCCCACTCTACTTCCTCTGTGACACTAAGCACAAAGGAAACGTTCTCAGGGTTTTGCTGCTGTGTGTCAATAACACCCATCCTGTGCCCGCAGAACTGTGGGCTCTTCAAAGCATTTTGGATCGACACCCCTGCCTCCAACGCAAGGGGTCCGCCATCTGCCAAAGGTCACGCTTAGTCCCTCTGCTCTCCTTCCTCTCCTTCCTCCCCCTCTCGGCCTCCCGCACCCGCCCACCAGAGCCCCGGGCCAGGAGCTGGCGCTGGGGCTGCCTCACCCGGCACGTTGTGCTTCTGCAGGCAGTGCACCGGCTCCATGGGCTGCACGGCCTTCTGCCGGCCGTCCTGCATCTTCTCCAGCAGCAAGAGTAGCTGGAAGGGCACGTTCCTCCTCTGCTCCTCCACTCCCACTGGCACTTGTAACCTGCCGGGTAGCAACAGCCATGAGCCCCCCCATTCTCTGGGTCGGGGGCACACTGCGCACACTCGAGGGGGCTTACTTCCAAAAGTCTTCACGCCCAGGCCACTCTGTGAACTGACTGAATCAGAATTGCTGGGGGTGGAAGCCAGTTATCAGAATTTTTCAGTGTTCCAAATTATTTAAAATATTTTATTTATTGTTTTTTTTAGAGAGGGAAGAAGGCAGGGAGAAAAAGAGGGAGAGGAACATTGATGAGCTAGAGAAACATCCATCGGTTGCCCCCTGCACGTCCCCCACAGGGGCCTGGCCTGCAACCCAGGTGTGTGCCCCAACAGGGACTCAAACCAGCAACGTTCTGGTCTCCGGGACAATGCCCAAACCAATGAGCCACCCCAGTCAGGGTGGCATTTATATATATATTTTGAACCTATTAGGCGACTGTGTGGTCCAGAACGTGCAGATCAAGACTTTCCTCTGGTGACTTTTGAAAGAAAACTATAGTCGGAGTCGCTGTGGGCTTCTGGGCAAGAGGAAGAAGTAGGCAAAGGCTGCACTCGCCTCCTCCCACAGCCCCATCGACATTCTGTGCAGCTAAACGCCAGAGCAGCCGAGACCCAGCACCGCCTGGGATCCAGATGAATGGACGGCCGACAACTGGGGATGTGCAGACGCAGCCACGCGGGAGGGACAGACGTACAGAACGGGCGGGTCCCACAGCCACGTGCGGTGGTTAAAAATCAGGAGGGACATCTCGGCTGCACAGGTCCCCTGAGGAGTGAGGGATCCCAGCCTCACACTGGGCCCCACAACCAGCCCAGGGTTCCAGTGGCAAGAAGAGGAGTCCCCCTAACTTCTGGCTGTGAAATCCAGCGGGGACTGTGGCTGATGGAGACAGGGCTTCTGGAGTCCCAGGAGTTCACAAATTCACCCACTGACAGACTCCCTCTCTCTGCCCTCCAGCCATGAGGCAGCATCTCCCAAGGCACCAGGGAGACACACGGGGAGGAACTGAGGTGTCTGGCTATGCGCTGAGGCTGGGGGACAGCTTTCCCCAGACACAGGTGCTGGCCGAGGCCACTGTTCCATTGATGATTCCCCCTTCCCACCACAAAGCGGGCAGACAGGCCCCACATCTGAGTCACCATCGACCTGCTCACAGTTTGTCCTGCCCTGCTGATACCCTGAGACCTGCCCCAGTGAACCTGCAGAATCACCCAAGCTGTTTCTAGTGGCTTTTCCGCATAAACAGACTGTCTTAGCTCATGCTGCAGACTTCCCTAAAGTCTCTCAAAGGTTCACAAACCCCAAACAAGCGGCATCTGGCCTCGGTGTGCTAAGCAGCCCCAGGCCCGACACTGACAACAACTGGCCTCTGTTCACAGCTCAGCGGCTCTCAGGCCCCTCCAAGCTGAGCACAAGGGGCAACCACCTGCAGATCACTTTGTACCTCATCCAGGGAGCCCCAGGCCGGCCAGAGGCAGCAGCTGACCTGGGCCTGCACCTCTAAAGAGGCCCCAGAACCAATACACTCGGTGGCCAGATTCGGACCACACCAGAGCACTGCCCAGCCACCCCCGAAATGTCACAACCAAAGGGCAGTGCTCTTGCCAAGCTCCCTCAGCCGGCTCCGGTCCAGCCCCCTTAGTACCCACTGCTTCCCAGCAGGGTCCAGTCCTTCCAGATGCTCCGCAACCTTCCCTTCTCACCCCGGCTTTGCCCCCGGAACCCCGACCCCCCACCCGGAATCGAAGCCCCGCCAGCACCTTCGAGATCCTAATACCCCTCCCGGACCCCTCCGTCCCTCACGGGGCAGGATTCTGGTCACTCCTCTCAAAATTCTCGAAGTTCTGGGACCTGCATCACCCGCGCCCCCCTCCCCTCTCTTTCCCGAGACCTTCGCCCCCGCAGGATCCCACCGACGCCCCTTCGCCCACAGGGGATCCTCCGCCCAGCACGTCCCGGTTCTGCGGCCGCTGGGGGGCGGGTTGGGCAGGCCAAAGGGGGACAGGCTGGGTCTGAGAAGGGCTCCGGGACCGGAGGGAGCAACATCGGGTCCGCAGGGAGGCCGAGCAGGCGCCAGACAGGTGCGGCCCCACCCGCACACGGAGGACTCGGACCAGAGGGCGGTCTCGGCCCGGGAAGGGAGCGCGTTCACTCGGTAAGTGCCTGTGAAGACGCATTTGCTGGTGTCAGGCCCGGGGACAGGCGTCTCGTGCGTAACACAGGACACACACTGGTGAGAGGGACACACGTGCCTTCGTGGAGCTCACTGTCTGGGCCTGTGGCCGAGCCGCGGTGGAAGCGTCCAGGCTGAGCCGGCACCTGCCCAAGGGCAGCGGGCAGAAGGGACCGCACACCTGGGGACACTGAGTCACGGTGGTGAAGCTCCGCAGCCATGCGAGGATCACAGGTTTCTTGTTATTGCTCACATGTCACTCCTTAATAACTGCTCTGTCAGGCCACTAAAAGTAAATACTCTCACTTTCTACATTCCAAAGTTCACCATCTACAATCTCCCTTATCGAAAATGCGCACATTTGCCATAACGTGAGTTCCTCAGATAACCTGGGGGGGCGCCATTTCACTTACAAAATACTTGTGCTCTCTACAAGAACAGGGCTCCAAACCCTGAACTCACTTAAAAATAAAAATCCTGTTCCTCTTTTATTTCATCATTAATGAACACCAACAAAATTTTTTCTAACTCCTCACATTACCTTGTTTCTTCATATTTTCTTTCAAGCGTTATCTATTTTTACATGTTTTTTACATAACTAAAGTAATACAACTTTATTATTGTATGATAGCTTATTTACCTTGATGAATCATGAAAAGCAATGTAGTGATTACAAATAATAGAATTTATTAAGGTGAGGGGGAATAACACAGAGCAATATATATACATATATATATATATATATTACTAAGTTAAAGATAGAATCAAAAAGAACCAATAGTAACAAAACAGATACAATGCCTAACATTAACTTCAGCAAGAATGTGCATGATCTTTGTGAACAAAATGTTGAAATGATGCCCAAAGAAAGACACTTGAACAACTGGAAAGTAACATCGTGTTCTTTGATAAAAATCATAAGGACAGCCCTGGCTGGTGTAGCTCAGTGGATTGAGCACGGGCCTGTGAACAAGAGGATCACAGTTTGATTCCCAGTCAGGGCACATGCCTGGATTGCAAGCCAGTTCCCAGCAGGGGATGCAGGAGAGGTAACCATACATTGTTATTTCTCTCCTTCCCTTCTTCTCTAAAGATAAATAAATAAAGTTAAAAAAAAATAAGGACATCAATTCCCCAAAGTTGCTTATAAATTTATTCTGATACAGTTTAAAATATCAACATTTTAAAACTAAAACTCATGTTCAGTACACTCGTTAAAATGAGGAATGAAAAGAGATTTCTGGAAAAGCAAATTAATAAATACAACCTAGCCCAACCGAACATAACTATGTATTGTGTTATAAATGTACATTAATCTAAACAGTGGGGTAATGACCTTTGAATAGACAAATTAATGGGACAGAATACAAAATCCAATAATAAATGCAAAGTCAGATGGAAATTTTCTATGACAAAGATCTCTCCTTAGATCTGTGGGAAAATATTTCTAATATAATAAAAGGTATTGGAACAACTGAATAGGAAAAATATTGGCCTCCCTACATTACATCCTCTGCCAAAATCAACTCATTGATTGGTTTTAATAGCCACTCATAACTAATATAAAACACTGAGAGCTATCTGAAATGTGCAAAAACATGTAAAGTGAAAAAATGTGGAAAATGTAGGGAACTGTTTCTCATATATGGAAATGTAGCTCAGCACTTATGTAGAAAACCAGGGGGGAGCAAGTGGCATGCAGGACCACGCCCACAGAGAGGTTTTTCCTTGCAGAGTCAGGCCTGCATTGTACCTAGACTGCTATGAGACTTTCTTTGGCTAAAACTTCCTCACCCTGAACTGAGGTAGGAGGTGCTTACTGCAACTTCCTATAATCTGAGCTAAACCTCCCAAGTATGGAGTGTGACAGGTTCAACTACTTTTCCCCTTGGTCTGCAACATCCTTCTCTTTGAAGTAATTAGCAGCATTCTTTCCTTTGTTATCTGTAAAAGGTAGTCCCCTGCAGTGAACCTGTGCATAGTAAATGAGGACTACCCTCCATGTTATATACCCAGACAAGCAATAAAAGCTTCTCCAGACACAGGCCTCTGGCCCTGTCACCCTCTCTCTCTCTCAGACAGTGGCCATGCCATCCCTTTTTCTCCACAGGACTTCTGATGTCCGTGTGTATTTGTTCACTAGCAGCCACAACACACACAGATGCTGCCAGCCAGGCTCCACATCAGGAATATATGCTATATGAACATTAACCAAATGAAAATTATATAATAACATAGTAAGCTTGAAGACAAAAAAAATACTACACATAAACAGGAGTACTTCATATGAGAAAGTTCAATGTACTAGTTACTTCCAAATTTTTATTCATTTAATAACAGAAACTCAAAATTATATAGAACAGAGCTGAATGGAAAAATACACAAACTAATAATCATAATAGGTGATTCAACAAACCTCCATCATGCAGGTTCTGTTTCAGAACCAATAAAGCCCACAATAAATAGTAAAAATATTTTTAAAATAACATAAGAAGCAAATGGCATTCAGTGTGCATAAGTATTCACTACACCCCAGAACTGCACATTACAGATGCTTTCCAAGAACCCTCGAAACTTTTTTAAACACTGACCACATTGTGATATAAAGCAAGTCCCAGCAAACTGCAAAGAACTAAAATTTGTATGTGTGTTTATTTCTTTCTCTCACTACCATTAATCAAGAAATCAGTAGCAACAGATAACTAGAAAATACTTATATTTACAAATTATGAAGTACACTTCTAAACACCCACCCAAAAATAAATCACAATTGGGATTAGAAAATAATTTGCATAGAATGATAGTAAAAATACTGCATATCAAGGCCAGGTAACTCAGGTTCCAAAAATAATTAAATCCTCAAGATCAGTGGCTTTTACCCTGGCTGGTGTACCTCAGTGAATTGAATACAGGCTGGGAACCAAAGGGTTGCCATTTGATTTCCAGTCAGGACACATGCCTGGGTTGCAGACCAGATCCCCAGTGAGGACCACGTGAGAGGCAACCACACATTGATGTTTCTTTCCCTCACTTTCTCCCTCCCTTCTCCTCTCTCTAAAAATTAATAAATAAAATTTTCAAAAAAGATCAGTGCTTTTCAACCTACAGTTGACTTTGCCCCCAAGGGGACATTTGGCTCATTGTTTGGAGGCCTTTCAGGTCATCATTAGGGGGGTTCAGGTGAAAGTTACTGTCATACACTGAATAGAGATAACAATTGCTAATAAAAACATACCATGTGGAGAAAAATCCCCCAATCTCATAGCAATGAGAAACCTACTCTCTACGGAGCAGAATGAAGACTCTATTAGAATACAAACAGCATGTGACTTTGCACCCTAGAGCTGAAATCACACCTCTCTCTGGACAGGCAGCCTGGAAGCTGAGAGCTAAAGAACAACAACATAAATTAATTGGTTGATTGATTGATTACTTTTTGAAAACTGTCAGCCATCTTGCAAAGACTGAAGAGGGATATCCTTGGCTAAGAAGGCACCCACGAAAGCTCAGAAGCCAAGGAAAATATGACACCTTAAGACACTGAACCACAGTGTGATAAACCACTGTACTTAGGGCCACTGTCTCTTTTCATTGCCAATAAATCACTCTTCAATAATTGCTTCTTAAAATTACTTAAAATCTACAATCTTATGCTTTTAGATTCCAAAATTTATCATCAAACGTTCTCCTCTTAGAAAATGTGGACCTTTGCCATATTGTGAGTTCCTCAGACGACCTGCAAGGGGCGCAATTTTACTGACAAAGTACTTCTGATTTCTAGAACACCACTGCTCCGGGTCGTGAACTTATTTACAATGCTAAGAGTCATATTACTATTTTATTTAATCATTAGTGAACTTATAACTAACACATTTTTAACTCTTCTTGCCTTCATGTATTATTCCAAGCTCCAACTATTTTTCATGCTTTATACAGCTAAACTTATGTAATTTTATTATTGTATGATATCTTATTTACCTTAACAACTCAAGAATATCAACTTAAAGTTATTATAAATAATACAATTTAGAACATTGTGTGGTAAATAACGTGCAGAAATAAATTACTCTTTTGTATACACAAAGAGTAATTTAAAGATATAATCAAGGAAAAGAACCAATGGTGCACTCCCAAATCCACTGTCTGGTCTAGGTGATGTGCTCGTAGAAAGCGATCCCAAGGAACTGATCACTGACATTGTGACCTGAGACTTGTACCTCGAAACACTCTTTTAAAAAAATCAACAGTCACTGATATTCCACTACAATCCATCACTTTTCCTGCTGACCTGTACTAAGATGTTATTCCCCAAAATTCCCACGAGATGGCAGCAGAGATGCACGCTTGGGACACGTACTAGTGGGTTGGCCTTGGATCCAATACAGAAATGTAAAATTGTTTTCATAATAAATGGTTTTCATCTCTCAAACACAGTATATTTTGTAACAATATAAGTGTGTAACACACTATATTTTGTACTATGGAAATGTTCCTGCTGGAATAGAGTTTTGGATGCAAATCGGACACTTTGGGTGGTCAAGGCGCTCTCCACATAAGGAAAGCAGCACGGGCCACTGGATGTAATGAGGGTGTGCAGAATTTTTGTTGAGTCACTTTTAAATGCATACACATAGAACCAACTATTTCTCATCCATTCTTTTATCCACAAAAAAAATAATTATAGATAGATTTAAGTAAAGGAGAAAACAAGTGACACAACATTCCAAATGACATGAAGGAGAAGCAAGTTTTCCCCTCCACTTTGTCCAGGCCCTGGTCCCGGCACATAGTCCCTGTGTCTCCTCTCAGCACATCCTCTGCCTGGGTTTTTTAAAAATACAATATGTTTTGCAGGATATTTTTCTCACATAATCACATTATTTTGAAGTTATTCTCTGTTAAAATCCATTAGAACCACCTTATTACATTTTATTTCTTTAATGAAATATCATATATTCTCACCCATTTTTAATGTTCTATAATATTTTATAATGTGAGCAAATCATAATTTTTAAAATTCTCTTCTGAAAACTTTAAAATTATATGTTATTATATGTGTTGGATGAAATATATTAAACATACTTCATTGTATGCACAGGGAAGCATAACTGGGGAAATTTTTTAATGCTTTTCCTTCCACTGCATTTATTAATTTGAGAGAGAGAGAGAGTTAGTTGTTCAGCTTATGTATTCACTCATTGGTTGCTTCTTGTATGTGCTCTGATTGGAGAATGAACTGACCCCCTTGGCTTATAGGCAGGACACTCTAACCAACTGAACTACCAGGCCAGGGCTACTAGGAGAAAATTTTGAAAAGTGGAACTTCTGGGTCAGAGGGTATGAGGATGTTGTTTCTGGATGGCTATTCTCAAATGATCACTGGGAAGTCTGCACCAAAGGACCCTTCCCGGAGTCTTTCAGAGCAAGGGCACTGCACCTGCTTGCTCATCAGCCTCAGAGATGTCAGGAGTCCTCTGGATCCCCATGTGGGCCACCAAATTATGTTGACCTTAAAAACATAGCAGTCGGTTATTTTACCAGCAGATAAGGGGTTTCAGAAACAGTAAAAAAAAAAAAAATGCAGTTTAGGACAAGCAAGCTGTAGCAAAAGTCATTGGCAAGATCCATAAGTAAAAGAGAGGAACGTTATGTTACATAGAGAATGGAGGAAGTTGGGAGGGATCATTTCAACAGAAAGTGCACGGGAGGAAACCATCAGGGTGATGATGGTTTCTCTCTGGCTGAGTTGCTGGGGAGTCGGTTTCTCCTGGGAGCACATAATACATGTTGGGGCCTGTGACAGACAATTGTTCCTGTAACTGACCCTGGGTGATGCTATGTGACAGCACCCCCACTGACCCCCAACTTCACTTTAGTGAGGTTTCCCTTTATGCAATTTCACAGTAATAGTTGGCTTATTTGCCATCCATGGAAATCAATTTATATTTACGTGCTCAAAACGAGGTAAGGACCAGAAACACTCTTCCCACTTTATCGCGTGAAAGCCAGTAGCAGCTAAACTGACTCTGCTCTGTGAACCCCTGTACTCAAATTCGATGCTATTTTCATGCAAAATATTTGTAGGTTTTTCCAGTATTTCTAAATGTATTTAGTTTTGCTTGGTTTTATCTCGTCTTCCTATTTCTGAAATGTTTTTACACCTGAGTTACTTCAACATACCTATTGCTCATAACGCCACTTCTTTGAGATGTGAAATTCTCCAAGTGTGTTTTCCAGTATACTTATTATGTCATTTCTTGTAATTAAATATTTCAGCTATCTGAGACTTATTTTCTGTCTATGAATTGCGTGGTCAGAATTTACTGACTTAAGTTTCCACAGAATGCAATGCAGTCATGACCGCATCCTCACTGCTTATGCAGCTCTATCTGAAAGTGGGTTTGAAAAGGGGAGTGGGGGGCATGAACGGGCCTAGATGTAAGTTAGGGACCACAGTCTGGTGGAACAAAGGCACTTTTGTCAGGCTGCAGGAGGCCCACGTTTACCCTCAGGCCCAGCCCCGGCTCGGAGTTCCCAGCTCTTCCGGGATAGATTCCTCACCAGCGGCGGGCCAGCAAGCCTCAGAGCCGCAGGCTGCGGTGACTGGCGGTAGGAGACCCAGGATAGCCAATCCTCGCGGGGTGGGGCGGGTCTTCCGCTGGCCAGTCCGGAACCTAGGGACTCTACCCCTCTGCCCCGCCCTTTCAGTGTCTTCTAACTGCCCATTGGCGGGCAGGGTTCCGGGATCTCAGTATTGACTGGACGATATCCAGGATGGACCCTCCCCCCCGGGAAGGAAGCCCTGGGGCTCAAAGAGGCCCTCGGCGTAGGCGGATGGCGTGGCAGAGTCCCCAGGAGACTAATTGGTAGTCGGGGAACCTTGCTGCGTGGAACCCTTAGCCCGAGACCTTCAAAGTCCAACCTAAGAGACCCCAGATGCCCTCACCATGAGGGGCCCGCGTCCGCCATCTCGGAGGGCCCACATCTCCTAACCCCAACGCCTAGACCCCCAAACAGCCCGAAAACCCCAGTTCCCCTCAGCTCGGGGAACCCAACCTGCAGCTCGCCCGGAAAGACCGAATCTCCCCAAACTCAGAGACGCTAAATGCCGTCGTCCTGGAAACCAGCTCAGTGGTGGGGACCCTGAAGGCCCTGGATGAGACGCCCCAAATCTCCTCAGCCGCGGGGTCTGACCCTCCCCCCAGACCTCAGTGTCCTCAGCCCGGAAGACGCCCCAGGCCGTCCAGCCCCTCCTCGCCCAGGGCCCCGCGCCCCGCGCCCCCCTCTCCCGGCGGCCTGGCGCCCTGCCAGCCGGGAGGAAGGAGTTAGGCCCTCTCAGCGCCTTCTTTCACAGGCGCCTCGGTCTCGGGGCTGGGACACCATGAACCCCGACGGGGGCCCGCAGCACAGCCCTGAGGGAGAAGCGGGGCGGACGCCTCAGGTGAGCTGAGGGGCCGGCGGGGAGCGTGGGGACAGGGCTCCGCAGACGCCCGGCCCTCGGGGTGACCCGGGCTGTGCGGGTGCAGAGCGCTGGTGGGAGAGACGGGACTCCGCGGGGCAGGGCGGGTCATGGTGTTACGGAAAAATAACTCAGCCGCTTTCGGGTGTACGGAGTGGAATTTTATTTATGCATGCGGATCCAGAGGAGGCAATCTCCAAACTCTGGGTCCCGAGCTTGGGCAGGAGCTCGTTTTTATAGTGTGGCATGCGGAAGCGATTTTACTAAGCCTACGTGGCAGAAGCAGGTTTACAGAAGCAAGAAAGCAGGGCTGCTGATAGGGTCATACAATGTTCTTTTGTTCTTACTTCTTAGTTACTTAGTTGCTCACCTTGTTGCCGGAAAATGAAGCAACCAGACACCCAGGGTTTCTGGAATACGAAGTTTATTACCGTGCACGGGTGCAGACGAGTCAGTCTCCAAATTCTGAGCCCCGAACAAAGGATTCTTGAGGTTTATATAGCCTTCGGAGTAGTAAAACAAGATACAGAAGTAGGAATCCAGAAGTTAGTCCTAGCTACAAGGCGAAAGTAAAGTACAAAGGCTAAATTCGAAGGTCAGTTTTTAACAGCAGGGGTGTTAATCTCAGTCCTAGCTAATGCACCGTTGTTTACTTTTCCCAGACAGCCCCATCATTCTCCCCTGGGGCTTGGGCAAATAAAGGTTAAACAAAGGTTCTTCAAAGCTTCCCATATCAACCCCTCCTTATCTTAGTGGCTCAGCAAAGGGACTGTGTCCTTCTGACTTGTCTGGGCTTGTCTAAGCGGGTCTCCTGCTACATCTCCCCCCTTTTGATGCTTGACAGTACCGTTATCTGGTCTAGCATCACTACAGGGCTGGGCTGTATATCTTGGGGTATCTTCTGATAATGATGCCACTGGAGGGACAGGATCTTGGTGGTTGTTCTGCAAGTTACTGTAGCTTCTAGATTCTGGATTATAGTCTGTAGTATACAGGGGCCGAAGCTTAAACCTAAGAAAAGTATGATTAGTGGCCCAAGGAAGGGTAGTGTCTACTGGAGCCAGGCCTGGGGATTTAGTCCCTAATTTCTCTAATTCTAACTTTCTGTTTCTTTGGTGCAGCAGTTTATATTCTCTCTGACTTCTTTAACTTTCTTTGCTATGATCTCTGACTGATTTACATACTAGCAACATTTCTCTCCTAGGAACGTACAGGTCCCCCACCCCCACCCCACCCCTGTTCCCTGGATTTGTTAGGTTAGGCCGGAATTAGATAAAATTAGCAGGGAGGACGAGGCAGGCACCAGACTGTCTCAGCAAGGGAGATAGAAAAGTAAAAAAAGTACAACCGGCCCGTGTATGACCTTGTCTTTGCATGGCCTTGTCTTAGCAGAAAAGTATCCATTGTAGTAAGCAGAGATGTGTGTGTGTCCTCTCAAAATTGCCAATTGCTAACAGCTACGTCTGCTTCTGTATTTGCTGCTTGCTTGCTTGTTTGCTCACCCCAATAAAAACCCCAGGCTGTAAGCGCCAGGCGCGACTCTCATCTGCAGCCATTTTGGCACCCATGTCTCCGGAGGCACCCCGAGAGTTCGCCCCTGCGCAGGTAAAACTTTGAAACTTTGGCCAATAATGTTCCATCTTAAATTCCTGAAAGCTTCCGACATTTGCTCGCATTGGGGTATGTTACAGATTTAGAGCATTAATGAGGTTTCTTTCCTCATCATTTTTCTCCTGTGATTTACTATTAGGGAGGGGTTCTGAGATTCCTTTCTCCTTCTGGAATCATATAAAGGACAATGGATGAAGGCGTCATCTTCTTGTAACTATTTCTGGCTGGACATGGACATCGTCCTACCTACCCTTGGGGTCAGGAGTACCCTGAAAGGGGGGGTGTGTGTGCAGCAGGGAGGGAGTCCTTCCTGCAAGAGGAAGGACCTTACAGGGTCCTGGTCAGTTGACTGTCACTAGGAAGTCGCAGGCTTGGTGTCCAAAGGCTGGCATTACTGGACCATTGGCCTTCTGGTCAGGTCATATTCTGGAGGTGACAGATTAGGCAAGAAATTGGAAGCACAATTAAATCATAACTATTAAATGACAAAGGCAGGGACGTCAGTAAAGAATGGCTTATCTGGAGGAAGATGCACAAGGCATGCTACACCTATCCAAGACTCCTTGTGGCCCACTATACTTCACTTGAGCTGAGGGGAATACATTAGGATTTCCCTCCTTTCAGATTTCTGAGCTCTTTCTGTCCAAGCTATCAAGACAGAAAAGGGAAAATCATTTCTAAAGTGAAGCCCAGAGATGGCCCCAACCCTTTATCAACCTGACTACTTAGTTCAATCAAACCCTTGAGTCTTGGTGGGGGGGGGGCGAGCAATGATGAAGATGGGCTCCTTAATTGAGGCCTATATTGTAACTAATCATCCATAGGTATAGGCAGGTCAAAGGCATACGCCGTATGAAAACAGAAGAACACACAGGTTAATTCACATAATAATCCCCAAACCTGGTTTCAACTCTTAAATGAAAGTAAACTTTCAAGACAGCTGCACCATTCTGATGTCCAATACTGAGCATAGTGATTTTCCTTGAACCACAGTTTTTCTCCTTCAGATCACCCTTACTATTATTACAGGAACTACTTTGGGTCCCACTTTTGATTTTGACTGTTCATTTGCATAAACACGCCAAGAGCAGCCTGGATCACTTATGATCCTTAGGTCCGCTCTGCTGGAACTCACACAGGGAACCCTTAGTTTGACTTCTCAGTCTGTCCCTCGGAGCACAGAAGCAGAGCCACACATCTGACATCTGGCTTCACCTGTACCAGTCGTTTCACTCAAATCCATGAGCCTCCATTGTGCCTGCAGGTTCCTTTTTAGCCATCTTTCAGGAAAGTAACCTTCGTTCCTTCCATGGAAGGACTGGCTCGAACCGCACAACCAACCAAAGTACCAGGCTTTTCTCGTGGGCTTTCACTAGCTTCACAGGTCAATCCCAGTTCCTCTGAGCTTTCTGGTAATGGCCAGAACCCATACATGCCTCCTTCAGGTGTGACATTCCAGTCAAAGTCCTGGTTAACAAAACCACTATTAATGACTGGTCTTATTGGTTTTATGCAAAGAAACGTTACATCATCATTCATTTCTTCAGAATGCCAAGTTCTGGAGGGATCAGGTAGGGAGAAAACCACAAAACTTGAAGGAAAATCTTTTTCCTTCTAATACCTATCAAGATGCATCTCCATGCCTTGTACCTTCTATTACTAACACCACATAATTTCTTTCCAAAACTTTCACATTTCCATATACTTTTATAGCTTCCCACAGACTTTCTGCAATATTCACAAACCTTCTGTAGCCTTTTTAACTATCCAGATTTATCCATAATTCACTTTTAATTCTTGTTCCTTTCTACACTGGGAAAGACTGCACTTGAACTCAGTATCTGGCAGCTAAAAGTCCCTAGCACTATAGGCATCTTCTACTAAAAGTCCCTAGATTTGCAGAGACATTTTGCACCTTTCTGAAGCTTAGGCCTTGCAAACACCGTATAAATCAGATGGTCAGCATTGGACCTCAGTTCATGACCTTCAAAACCAGAGCCATTCCTATCAGAACCAGTTACACAGAGAACCTGACTGCTGCAGTGTCCACACAGCAGCAGCATACAGCTCATAATCTGAAGAGAAGCCTTATCCAGTTCCAAGATGGGGGCACCCATGCACACAGGGTTGTCCAAGATGGCGATGCCCATGCATGCTCTGTCCTCCATGGTGGAGCACTCACGTGGCTCATCCATTTTACCCAAAATGGCAGCACCCCAACTCTGGTTCTGCCCACCTGTGTTGGCAGCCCCGAAGGCTCTGGCTCCAGTCTCCAGAGCTAAGGAGGCCCCAGAGGACCCCAAGGCCCCTGGTGCAGCAGATGAGCAGAGCCCATTCGCAGAGGCTGCAAATCTGTGGTGGAGACTTCTCCCACTTGCAGGGCAGGAGAAGCCATAGTGGGCTTCACCTCCCCAGAAGGCAGCGTCACCATGGGAGGTCTGGGGTCCCCCTTTATCTATTCTGAGGATGGGAGGAGGTTTCCCAAAGACTAACTCATACGGGGTATAGCCTGAAGGGTCAGGGCCATTCCTAACCCTAAGTAGTGCCAGTGGTAGCAAATCAATCCAAGGTAGTCCAGTCTCCTGGTGGAACTTAGCTAGAGTTTCCTTGAGAGTCCGGTTCATGCGCTCTACTTTTCCCAAGCTCTGGGGTCAGTATGCAGTGTGCAATTTCCATGTGATATGGAGGAGCCTTGTTACCTCCTGTATTATGTTTGAGATGAAAGCTGGACCATTGTCACTCCCAGTGGTCAGGGGTAATCCATACCTTGGGATGATTTCCCTCATCAGGGCCTGGGTGACTTCTCGGCTTTTCTCAGTCCTGGTGGGGAAGGCTTCTACCCACCCAGAAGAGGTACAGATGAAGACTAAGAGGTACTTATACCCTCGGCTGGGTCTGACTTCAGTAAAGTCCACTTGCAAGTCCTCAAACGGCTGCCTCCCTGAGTGCTGTATTCCTGGCTTTATCCCTGGGTGCCCTGCCTCATCGTTCCGGGCACATGTAACACACTGCATCGCCACAGAGGCGCAGAGCGCAGCCAGGTTAGGGAAGCGAAGGTACCTTTTTAACAGGTTTTCTAGGGACGTCTCGCCCATATGAGTGAGGCTGTGGCATTGCCTCACTAAGTTGCTGACTTGCCCCTGGGGGAAATGTATTTTCCCACCTGGCAACTTCCAATTCTCCTCAGCAGTTTCCTGTCCTCCAGCTTGCCGTGCCCACTCTGTTTCGATTTGTGCCCCTTCTTTAATGACACCCGGTACTCTGTCTTGGTTAGCAGTTCGAACAGCTGGCAAGGGCCCTCCCAGCACCGGTCTCAGGTTGGTGCCCCTGAAAGGAGGTCATCTACACAACCACAGTAACACTGGGTCAGTCTCCTTCTCAGTGAATGATTTTAGATCTCTGTTCAGGGCCTCTCCGAGGGGAGTGGGAGAGTTTTTGAAGCCTTGGGGCAGTCTGGTCTGGGTCTAAGACAGCTAGGCTGAGGACTGTAGGCGCCTGAACCCTGGTCTTTGTCGCCTGCCAGTGGGCTTTTCTTTTCCCTACAAGAGTATGAAGTTTCAACCTTTTCTGGAATCCTCAATTTCCTTTTCAGAGCAGATACAGAGCAAAATCCGCAACACAGAGTTCTGAAACAATACACAGGTAGAGGCATTCTCTTGCACCAATGCATCCACTGGTGCCTTGCAGAGGCATGCTCCTTCAGGCCCAGTCTCATGGCAGAGACATGCTGCTTTGTCTCAGGTTGAAGCACTCGTCAGCCCTAATTGACCCTTCCTGGGTCCCGGGTGGCAAAGGCATTCTCCCCAACCGGCTGCAGGCGACCTTTCCTAGGTCTTACAATACAGGTTTCTGATGAGAAACAGAACCGCATGTGAGAACTTTGCTCTTTTCCCATGAAACCAGAAAACAAGTAGTTGAGGTTTCCTTTACTCCAGGTTTAAAACTGTCACATCCTTTATACAGTCACTCACACACAAACATACAGACAAACATCCAAGAGTTTATACAGTCCTGCCCAAGTAAGACTGCCCAGGTGGGGATATGTTTCCCCTTCCAGATGGCCAACGGGCCTGTAGAGGACTTATGGCTAATTGCCTGCCTGAGAGATGATCAGTCTCTCCTTCCACAAGGGGTGGGCCTGGTCTCGGGCTCTGGTCCCCGGGGCACTTACCGATTGGCACCTTTCCAGGTCCAGATAGTTCCAGTCCACACCTCACCTGCCCAGGTCGAAGAGCAGTCCAGAGGATGACTTCCACAGAGCCCGGGGTGTCTGGGACCCGAAATCACCAGGGTGCTCGCTTCCCTTCGGCCACCGAGCTCCCTCTGGGTCACTCCCTCACCGCCTTCACTGGAGGCAAAAAAAAAGGACTGCTCACTTGAGTCATTTCCCTGTTAGGGATCCAAAATGTTACGGAAGAACAACTCAGCTGCTTTCGGGTGTACAGAGTGGAACTTTATTTATGCATGCGGACCCAGAGGAGGCAATCTCCAAATTCTGGGTCCCAAGCTTGGGTAGGGGCTTGTTTTTATAGTGTGGCATGCGGAAGCGATTTTACTAAGCCTACATGGCAGAAGCAGGTTTACAGAAACAAGAAAGCAGGGCTGCTGAGAAAGCAGGGCTGCTGTTAGGGTCATACAAGGTTCTTTTGTTCTTTCTTCTTAGTTACTTACTTGCTCACCCCTCCTTATCTTAGTGGCTCAGGAAAGGGACCGTGTCCTTCTGACTTCTCTGGGCTTGTCTAAGCAAGTCTCCTGCTACAAGGGAAGTGGGAGAAGGCTCAGAGTGCGAGCAGGCCCGCTGGACGGATGCACCGGGAAGAACAGCCGCTCGGGGACCTGGGAAATGACTCAGACAGGGGTTCAGTGCTTGCAGCACAGGGACCGCCGAGGCCCTGCCTGCTCCCTGCACCTGGGGGCTGTGCGCATTCTCACTACATCACCGAGTTACTAGTGTTTCCACTCTCCTCTCCAGGCAGAAGACGCTTCAAAAGACGCTTCCCTCTACTTCTCCAGGGAGGAGTGGGCAGAGATGGGAGACCGGGAGAAAGGCCGGTATCAGAATGTGAAGAGGAACTTCGAGGTGCTCCCCAGCCTAGGTAGTACACAGGTGCTGGGCCCAGGGGCCTGGTGAACCCCACAGGCTGCTGAGCTGGCTCCGGCTCAGGTGGCTCCAGTGGCCTGCAGCTCCTTCCTGCAAGGACACCGATCAAGGGGTATTTGCTCCTTGTGTCAGAGCAGGGCTGGTGCTGATGGTATGGCACTCACAGCAACTCCTTGTAGACTCTCCCATCCCATCAGAGCCGGTCACAGGGGCTTTCTGGAGCTTGTTCCTCCTCCAAGCTCTGTGCTTTCAGGACAAAGGTTTTGTCTCTTTCCAGGTCTCAGAGCCCCTCGACCTTTCCTGTGTCACCACCGCAGGCGGGCCACCGAGCTGGAGGAGGAGGACCCTGAGGACTCGGATGAAGAATGGACTCCAAGGCAGCAAGGTGAGGGGCAGGAGGAGCCAGAGCTGCCCTCCTGACACAGACCTGGTTTAGGTCAGGCTGCGTCTCAGGAGTTAACCACTGAGCAGGGTTTGCTTGTCCAGTGAACATGCAGGATGCAGAACAGTGTGTGGTACAGTGAGGGGCTATTGCTATAAACTTTCAAGTGTGCAAAATCATCTTATATATTTATAGACACATTAATAACTAGTAAATGTATAAGAACATACAAGTGAGTAAGAAATAACTAATTCAGAATAGTCGTCTCAAGAGAGGGAGGCAGGTCTGGCAGGCGAGGAGTGTTCGGACACCTGACTGCCCAATGGCTGCATGGAGACAGGGAACAGTATTAACATGGTGATGACAGGGGCTGGGGGGAGGGGCCAGGGTAGTGAGTAGTTTTATCACTGTATCATTTTCTGATGTCGGTCATGATGCCGTTCCATCCTGTATCATGAGTGTTTGCTGGGTAGTCAGTTCACTTTCATGGGTCTGGGGTTGAAACACAGCTGAAGCCAAGATGTGATCTTTAACTTGACTGGAATTCTGTTTCTGTGGTCATCAGACTGTGGATGCCGACCAGAGTCTAATGATAAGGAAGGGCGTAGATGGCCAGTATGTGCACATGGGGGGAGGATAGGGTCAGAGAAAGGAGGCGAGGTGGTCCTGGTGCCCTTAGCCCAGACAAGGCCAGTTTGAATGAAGACAACAGAGTAGAGAAAGGGTTATGTTGAAGACATGGAGTTTCTGTGCAGTTTCTTTTATTACATTTTTGTCAAGAGAGGCCAATGTAACACTGATTTCTCATCATCTTTCAGTGAAACCTTCTTGGGTGGCCTTCAGAAGGGAACAGAGAAAACATCAGAAGGTGAGTATTTCCCAAATCCTGTTGACAGGAAAATTTTCCCCATGGATAGAAATGCAGGTAAGAGTAGGGAAATGCAGAGAGTATCCTAGGAACTGCTGCCTTCCTTTCCTAGTCTCTTCAACACATTGTCCAATATTACCATCTTTTTTTAAATATATTTTATTGATTATGCCATTACACTTGTTCTATTCCCCCCCACCCTGCACACCCCCTCCGCCACTGTTCCCCCCCTTTAGTTTATGACCACATGTCTCAAGTTCTTTAGATTCTATATTTCCCCTACTATTCTTACCCTCCCCCCTCTCTATTTTCTACCTACTGTCTATGCTACTTATTTTCTGTACCTTCTCCCCCCTTCTCCTCCTCCCACTCCCCTGTTGCTAACCCTCCATGTGATCTTCATTTCTATGGTTCTGCTCCTGATCTAGCTATCCTCTTAGTTTGCTTTTGTTTTAGGTGTGGTTGTTAATAACTGTGAGTTTGCTGTCCTTTCACTGTTCATCTTTTTTATCTTCTTTTTCTTAGGTAAGTCCCTTTAACATTTCATATAATAAGGGCTTGGTGATGATGAACTCCTTGAGTTTGATCTTATCTGAGAAGCACTTTATCTGCCCTTCCATTCTAAATGAAAGCTTTGCTGGATAAAGCAATCTTGGTTGTAGGTCTTTGGATTTCATGACTTGGAATACCTCTTTCCAGCCCCTTCTTGCCTGTAAGGTCTCTTTTGAGAAATCTGCTGACAGTCTGATGGGGACTCCTTTGTAGCTGACTGTCCCCTTATCTCTTGCTGCTTCTAGGATTCTCTCCTTCATTTTAATCTTGGCTAATGTAATTACGATGTGCCTTGGTGTGTTCCTTCTTGGGTCCAACTTCTTTGGGACTCTCTGAGCTTCCTGGATTTCCTGGAAGTCTATTGCCTTTGCCAGATTGGGGAAATTCTCCTTTATTATTTGTTCAAATAAGATTTCCACTCGTGGCTGTTCCTCTTCCCCTTCTGGTACCCCTATGGATGTTGGAACGTTTAAAGATGTCCTAGAGGTTCCTAAGCCTCTCCTCATTTTTTTGAATTCATGTTTCTACATTCTTTTTTGTTTGGTCATTTTTTTCTTCTTTCTGGTCCACTCTTTGATTTGAGTCCCAGTTTCCTTTCCATCACTATTGGTTTCCTGTGCATTTCCATTCATTTCGATTAGTTTAGCTTTCATGTGTTCCTCTAATTTGTGACTAAAATCAACCAGTTCTGTGAGCATCCTGATCACCAGTGTTTGGAACTGTGCATCTGAAAGTTTTGCTATTTCTTCATCACTTAGATTTATCGGCTCTGGGGCTCTAAGTTCTTGAGCCATGTTTTGATCTGTTTGTGCCTGTTATGTATGAGGAGCAGAGCCTTAGGTGTTCACCAGGGCGGGGCCACCCAGGTTCCTGGTTTGTGGCGCTGTATGTGAGGGCGGGATCAGAGAGGGACAATGGCGGTCCCCTCTGCCACTTCCCGCCACTGGGGCCTGCACGGTCTGTCTCACCGCTCGCTCCTCCACCGGTTTATCTGCTTTCGAATGTGTGACTGTGGTCAGCCCTCAGTGAGTCCATCGCCCTGTGCGCCCTCAGTGGGTCTGCCCACTTCTCCACACCTGGGATCCGCCTACAGCTGCTGGCGCACCTGGGTCGCGCACCCAGGTTGGTCCAGTGGATATTTCATGCCCGACCCCGCTCTACTGCTGGCTCTGCCCCTCTTACCGGTTTGGCTGAAGGGTTCGTTGTTGTCAGACTTCCGTATAGTTCAATTTTCTGTGATTTTGGCTGGGTTTTTGTTGCTAAACTTTGTTGTTTTTAAATTTGGTTGTGTGAGGAGGCACAGTGCTTCTACCTACACCTCCATCTTGGCGGAAGTCCCCAATATTACCATCTGTTTTTAGAGATTTTATTTATTGATGTTTTAGACAGGGGAAAGGAGGGAGAAAGTGAGGGAGAGAAGCATGTGGGAGACACACCTGTATAGGTTGCCACTCACCCACCCCCAAGTAGGGAACCTGAACTACAACCCATGCATGTGCCCTGACCGGGAATGGAACTGGTGACCTTTCAGTCTGCAGGCCAGCACTCAATCCACTTAGTCACACCAGCCAGGGCTCATCATCATCTTCATAGTTAACAACTACAGCGATAATAGTAACTACGATTTGTTTCATTCTCACAATGTTTCAGACTAAGAATTCTATGTGAATGAACTCACTTAAACATTACAACAGCCCGATGAGGTACATACTGTAACTGTCACCATTTACGATGAGGCAAGTGATCTTTCAGAGAGATGGAAATGTTTGACTATTATGTCTAAGATCACAGTATCAGTGGTAGTGCAATCTGACCCACAGTTGCTTCTCTAAAACACTTACAAACTCAATTAAAACTTCCAGAGTTTTGCCCTGGCCACTGTGACCAGTTGCTTTTCATGCTGCAAAGGGGAAGATCGCCAGTTAGATTCCTGGTCAGGGCACGTGCCTGGGTTGTGGGTCAGTTTCCAGGTTGGGGTGTGTGTGAAAGGCAGTAAGTGATCAGTGTTTCTCTTTCTTTCTTTCTCCCTCCCTTCCCCCGTCTCAAGAAAATGAACAAAATCTTTTTTAAAAATTAGAAAAATAAACCTTTACAATTTCTAAATCTGACATTGTCTTATCCATCTGTCATTTTATCATTCATCTGAATGACGGTTTCACCCAAAGTTGTCCTCTGCTATGCTGAAGTGAGAGATGCACTATGACCCTCTCTCTGAATAAGGAAAGTGTACCATGTGTAGGCAACTTGTGCAGTGGATGGTCCCAGATGAAGAGGAATGTAAAATGTCCAAGATCACAGCCTCCCACTCTAATCAAAAATAGCATCTCCCACCCCTGAGGAGCTTCAGGTTTGATAATTGAGAAACAACAAATAACAAAATGACTTAAGGACTTCATATAGGTTGCACACTCTTCTATAGAAACTCATCCATCTGGAACTGATCTTAAATGGCCTTTCCTATAGGGTGAAGTAACAGCTTCTTTGTTCCATTGGGACTCCTTCTGAGTTCCAGTGAGGCTGCTCTCATCCTATTTAGAGTCATTTGTTCAACCCACCTCTCTCTGTGTTCTGTGAGCTCTTTGAGAGTCTGGTCCATACCTGAGACTTCTCAGAAGTCACAGGCCCAAATCAGGGCCCCTGAGGGCCCCCAAATGTTTGCTTCATGAATGATTTCACAATTACAGGTTAAACTAGAATATGATCAATGAATGCTGAAGGTAATTTCTGTGAGATGTGAAATATGGAGAGAGCTGCGGGGTAAATTAATAGGACTATAATCTTACATTCATACTGTATTACACAATTCAAAGAACACTTTCATGAGCATTATTTAATTGCACATTCACTGTAACATTGAAAATTAGCATGTCAGAGGTCATGAAACTGAAGACAACTACTGAAACTTATTTGAACAGAATTGGTGGGAACCAGCTAACCTAAGTACAAATATTCTTTCTAAGGTACTGCAAATTTTATCACCATTTTACCTATTGTCTAGATATGTTTCTGCCAACCATTTCTTTATTCTCTTCCCAATATCCTTCATTTTCAATATTATACAAAAGAAAAGAGCCATAAGACATGAGTTCTAATCTTGGATTCATTACCCACATTGGCCCTATCCCCTCTAATATTCATATTCCTTAGATATTTCCAAAGGTTGAAGTATTAAGACATGCATATAAAATGTACCATAAGCCTTAAAAAGTTAAATACATGTTGTCTTTTAATATGTGACTCTTATATTGAAGGAAACATCCAAGATACCATTAAGCAATGAATATAGTTTGAAGGAATTGTCAGGAACAACAAATTTGAGGACTGCAAGTGACTCAGAGGATGCCCAGAAACCAGTGTTCCCTCCTGGAGAAACATGTGCCTTTGGAAAGCACACTAGACGAAAATCGGGTAAGAGAAAATAATTTGGGAACTTCAGTTCCTCTAAGTCCTATAGAAGGGCTGATAAGTATGACCTAGGTATGGGAGGTGGACTGTGGATGGGCCTGAATTTAAGGTGGGCTAAGCTGAGACTTAAGTTAGCAATGGAGCTTGGGGCAAATCCTATAAATTCTCTGAGCTCCCGAATGCTAATGTATAAAGTGAAGATAAGGAAACATCACTCATATATATTGTTTGAAAACATTAAATTTAAAACAATTGACACATGCAACTTGTTCAGTAAATCCATGTGTGATAACAGCAACCACACTTTATTGGTGTTGTGTGCCCAGGCCTTTACTCAATGCCTAACACAAAGTGCAGTCAATAAATATTTTATCAATGATTAAAGGTTGGCAAGTTAAACCTAGTAATGGGAAGATCTAGAAACCAAAATTGAATCAGTCATCTGTAGTTAGTGTGGAGTCTTAGTCTTCTGAACCGATAGTTAATGGAGTAAAATACAAGAGTGTGCAAAAGGACAGGTGGTCATTTGATGAGAGGAGATTATGTTTTCTGACAAAATGGGAACTAACACTCCAGACCCCACAACTTCACTCACCTGGCCTTCTCCAACTTAGAATTCAGGATGTACAGCCAACAAGAAAGAAAGGTCCATGTGCACCAAGAGGTCAACGAACCCCAGGATGATGACTACCTTTGTAAGTGACCCTCACTAAGAAGCAAGTTATGATACAATAATTCCATCTAGTCCTTTGGTCCCCAAATTATTCCCTTCCTCTAGTGACCTGGAGTACAGAACTGAGTCTCAATGATGTCAGTGCTGGACTCCCTCTGAAGCTCTTTGTGTCCAAGAACATGCACTACACCTTCCCCAACCCGTTTCTCTCGCCTCCAGATTGTGAGAAGTGTCAGAACTTCTTCATTGACAGCTGTGCTGTGCATGGGCCCCCTACATTTGTAAAGGACCGTGCAGTGGACAAGGGGCATCCCCACCGCTCCGCCCTCACCCTGCCCCCTGGGTTGAGAATTGGGCCATCAGGCATCCCTGAGGCTGGGCTTGGAGTGTGGAATGAGGCAGCTGATTTGCCAGTGGGTCTGCACTTTGGCCCTTATGAAGGACACATCACAGAAGATGAAGAGGCAGCCAAGAGCAGATACTCCTGGCTGGTGAGAACTATTTACCTCTTCCACTGTCCTCTGGCTTCCCACATTCCTTCTGAGGCTTGGAGGGACCTCTCCTCTTATGTGCTAGACATGTGGTTAGCTCTGTGTACTGACTGGACTTTACATGGACACAGAGCTCCTATTTAAGGATCAGAAGGTAAGTGGGAGCAAAGTGGTCCAGACACAAAAGAGTGGCTCCTCCCTTGTGGGGCTCCTGCTGTGATTAGACAGGTAGACTCAGGTGTGTAGGTGATGAGTAAGAAAAATATCGTGTGATCACAGCTGGCAGTTGAATCCCCATGCAGGTGGAAAGAGCTCTGATGACAGTAGAGTAACATAATTCTCCTGACTATTACCTCCCCACCAAAAAGAATAACAGATCTTTATCTTCTTTTCTGAAACACAGATCGCCAAAGGGAGAAACTGCTATGAGTATGTGGATGGAAAGGACAGATCCTGGGCCAACTGGATGAGGTGAGGGCAACAGTCTCTGGGTGCCAGAGGGGACTCTCATCTCCCACAAGCCCATATACCTTTCCCTCTCATCATGCCTCCCTCAGTGGTCTCCCTTCATCCTTTTTTCCTCTTTTTCTCCATACAGTGTTCTTTCATTTCAGGGGAATTTTAGAAAAAAAGTATAGCATGTATCCTCAAAATATAAAGCTGTCTAGTAGACACCATCTGAGCGCTGGAAAAGACCTTGAAGAGCCTAGGGTCACCAGGGGCACTGGATTACACTTTATTTTATCAAATGAACATTAATTAAGCACTTACTATATTATACTTATGATGAAGGAATACATTCCTTTAGATCATGTCCTTATGGAGGACCTCTCACAGACAGACATAAAACCAACTGCTTTTAGAAACTATAATTTTCAAGAAGTGCACAGTGTCAAGATAGCACAAACCAAGGGTTGCCTAAACCTGTGACGGCAGCAAACCATCCCAGCCTCACTTCTAACGAGAGCCGGGCTCTGGGGCCTGCAGAGGAATGGTCATGTGCCCTTTCCTGAGAGGGGCTGTCTTTTATCAGGGATCACAGAATGTGAATCAGCCACTATTGTTCTGATTTACTTTACTAAGACAAAAAGACCTCCAATTTTCTATGGTAACCTTGGGCAGGCAAGTGAATGGTACCCTAAATAAAGTGTAGGGGGGTTGGAGAAAGGCCTCTCAAGAGAAAACAGACGTGGGATGAATACTGGGTAATTAGTGAGGTAATTCAGAAGCAGAGCCCTAGATCAAGCACCATGTTCTGTGGTGTGAGATAAGTTGATTGGGAGTTTGGAAAAGCCAGAGATCACTGGATATTATTGCCAGTCAGGTTGGAGGTTAAGTCTAGAACTGGGTTTTAGAAAATGGTATTAGGCAAGATAAACACTGCAAGCAGGACTTGGAGGTAGGAATTCACGTGACATGCTGACAGACACTCAGACAATGAACAAAGATTCCCCAGAAGCATTAGGGGCAGCTATCAACACCAGAGTCTGAGGGCCTTAAGAATCAATGAAGAGCTAGACATGGATGTAACAGGTACTGGGAATTCATCACCATGGTTTTCTTTCCCTTCATCTGCCTCAATCCCAGGTTTGTGAACTGTGCCCGGGATGATGAAGAGCAGAACCTGGTGGCCTTTCAGTACCACGGGCAGATTTTCTACCGAACCTGCCGGGTCGTCAGGCCGGGCTGTGAGCTGCTGGTCTGGTGTGGGAACGAGTATGGCCAGGAGCTGGGCAGCAAGTGGGGCAGCAAGTGGAAGAGAGAGCCCGTGGCTGGGAGAGGTGGGTACCGCTGTTCTTCAAAACAGAAGGAAAGGAGAGAATTCTCCAGAGAAATATTCATGACCCAATTCTTAAGTGGAGTAAAATCTACTCTAAAGTCAGTAAAGTTTCAACTCAGATGCTTCAGAAATTCACAATTCATTCATATGCCTTTCACTCTTAGGCAAAATTTTTTTATTTATTGTTAAAAAATTCATGAATGAAATACACAACCACATATAGTACTGAAAGACTGAAGGGCAAAACAAAAATTTTCAAGCACAAACCAGTTCTCTCACCAAGGCAGTTGTTCTGACACTTTTATAGCTCTTCTTAATTTTCCTCCATACTTCTAAATAAAACATTTTTGTTTGTAGCCATTCATTATTTTTTAAAGATTTTGTCATGGCTGGTGTGGCTCAGAGGATGGAGCACTGGCCTGTGAACTAAAGGGTCACCAGTTTCATTTCCAGTTGGGGCACATGCCGGGGCTTTGGGCCAGGTCCCCAGTACGGGGCATGTGAGAGGCAACCACACATTGATGTTTCTCTCCTTCTCCCTCCCTTCCCCCTTTTCTGAAAATAAATAAATACATGAATCAAATCTTTTTAAAGAAGATTTTATTTATTTTTACAGAGAGTGGAAAGGAGGGAGAAAGAAAAATCAATGTGCAAGGGAAACATTAACCGGTTGTCTATGGCACACTCCCAACTGGTGCACAACCCTGGCATGTGCCCTGAGTGGAATCGAACTTAAAACCTTTCAGTTTTCAGACAACACTTAACACACTAAGCCACACCATTTGGGCAGGGCACATTCGTTCATCATTTCAGTGAATTATTATGAGAGATCTTACTCTGGCGCACAGTGTCCTAGGACCTGGAAATACAGGTTACTGTGAGGATCAGAATCACTGTTCTTGAGGAGCTGAGGGGTGAAGGAGGGAAATCCAGGCACACATGCTTGCGTGTGCATAACACCACACAGCAGTTAGTGCTTCGGAGAAAACTAATCTAGGACAAGTGCCTGGGGATCAGTATGAGGGGAGGCGTGTGGCAGGTGGTCCTGAAAGGGTCCTCTCAAGAGATAACGTTTACAAAAATACCTGGGGGCAAAGGATCCCAGGCAGAGGGAACCACTACTGCGGGGAAGAAAAGAGGTGCAGTGTTGAACTGGCTGAGGGTCACTCAGGTCTCGTCTCAGCACAGAGGGTAAGAATGGAGATCAGACAGATGTTTAGCAGCCCAGAGATGCAGTGGCGATGATCTGAGTTGAGGCGGGATTTCCTGTGTGAAAATGTGCAGTCGTCAGCTGTAGAGTGGTGTGTTCTCTGTTCTGATTATGCTCTGTTAAACTTTAGAAAATAAACTCCAGTGGGGAATCCCCTCAGAGATTACGTCATCTCCAAGTGAGACAGCCTGGTGGATTGGCCAGAGGAACAGGAGTCAGGCATGTAAAAGATGTGGTTGAAATATTTTCAAATAGGTTTTCTTAGTGTATTTGAAATAATCTAACACTAAATGAAATAAAGCATAAATATTTGCTGTGAAGCTTGAGGAAGGACATTTTATTTCACTATTTTGGGAAACAGAGAAGCAATTCCTAGTTGGGGCCTGTGGTTTTCCTCTGTAACATGACTTAGCAAATACCTACAGATGGGAAAGGTCACTGCAGTTCCATCCACACAGGGAGTAAAATGGCTTCTCATGCTCCAAAAGTCCCTATCCTGGCCAATATTAAAAAAGACTCTTGATGTGGGCTTTCTGGATTTCTGAAGATGCACTGAATGAAAATGAAAAGGAAAACAGACGGTGAGGGGACACTTTGTGAGAGACAGAGGTTGCGTTATCACCACAGTAAGAAGGACTCACGGGGCAGGTCTTACCAGGAGACAAGTTGTGCGGCCCAGGCATTGTCCTCAACATCTGCCCTGACCAAACCTTTCTCTTTCAGTGGAACCAAAGCCAGAGGTGCACCCATGTCCCTCCTGCTTTCTGGCCTTCTCCAGTCAGAAATTCCTCAGCCGACATGTGAAACGCAATCATCCCTCTCAGATTCTCCCGGGAACATCTGCAAGAAAACACCTCCAAGCAGAGGAACCCTGTCCAGAGGGTCAGAATCAGCAGCAGCAACGTACCAGTACACACAGCTGGAATGATACAGCTGAAGGTCAACAGGTCAAAGAAAGGTCCAAACCTTTGCTAAAAAGGATCAGTCAGAGGAGAATCTCAAGACCCTTTCAACCTTCCAAAGAACAGATGAGGAGCTCTAGTGAGCACGAGAGGATGATGGAGGAAGAGCCCTGTAGAGGACAGAAAGATAGTCCAGAGGGCACAGGCAAGTTATTCGTGAAAGTAGGAATGTCAAGGATTGTAACGATCAAGTATGGAAGGTGTTGGCAAGGCTTCAGTGATGGGTCACATCTTATCAAACACCAGAGGACACACTTGGAGGAGAAGCCCTATGTTTGCAAGGAGTGTGGGCGAGGCTTTACATGCAAGTCAAATCTCATCACACACCACAGGATACACTCTGGGGAGAAGCCCTATGTTTGCAGGGAGTGCGGGCGAGGCTTTACACAAAGGTCAAGTCTCAACGCACACCACAGGATACACTCAGGGGAGAAGCCCTATGTCTGCAGGGAGTGTGGGCAAGGCTTTACGCAGATGTCAAATCTCAACATACACAAGACGAAACATTCAGGGAAGCCCTATGTCTGCAGGAAGTGTAGGAGAAGCTTTGCATGCAAGTCACATCTCATTGCACACCACAGGATACACTATGTCTGCAGGGAATGTGGGAGAGGCTTTACATACAAGTCACATCTCATTGCACACCACAGGATACACTCAGGGGAGAAGCCCTATGTCTGCAAGGAGTGTGGGAGAGGCTTTACATACAAGTCACATCTCATTGCACACCACACGATACACTCAGGGGAGAAGCCCTATGTCTGCAAGGAGTGTGGGAGAGGCTTTACATGCAAGTCAGGTCTAAACAGACACCAGAGGATACATTCAGGGGAGAAGCCCTATGTCTGCAGGGAGTGTGGGAGAGGCTTTACATGCAAGTCACATCTCATTGCACACCACAGGATACACTCAGGGGAGAAGCCCTATGTCTGCAGGGAGTGTGGGAGAGGCTTTACATGCAAGTCAGGTCTAAACAGACACCAGAGGACACATTCAGGGGAGAAGCCCTATGTTTGCAGGGAGTGTGGGAGAGGCTTTACATGCAAGTCACATCTCATCACACACCACAGGATACACTCAGGGGAGAAGCCCTATGTCTGCAGGGAGTGTGGGAGAGGCTTTACATGCAAGTCAGGTCTAAGCACACACCAGAGGACACATTCAGGGGAGAAGCCCTATGTTTGCAGGGAGTGTGGGAGAGGGTTTACATGCAAGTCAGGTCTAATCAAACACCAGAGGGTACACTCAGGGGAGAAGCCTTTTGTTTGCATGGAATGTGGGCGACACTTTACACAGAGCTCACATCTTACCACACACCAGAGGACACACTCAGGGGAGAAGCCCTTTGTTTGCAGGTGAAGTGAATGAATCATTACTATTAAATCACATGTCAATAGCCATAAGAAGTCTATGGAACCTTACTCTCCTTAAGATTGTAGTTAGTAGATAAGTAACTGGTTGAACAGTTTCATAACGAGATGAGATGGACAGTTTCAGTGATATGGGGATGTCAGCACCAAACTCGTTCATGGTTGTTTTTTTTTTTACCTATTCTAAAACATTTTGTCTCCCTACACATCCCTCATTTTCCCCATCACTGAAAGCAGAGGGTTCCTGAAAAGCCACAAAGAACTCATTCTCTCAGCCACAGAAATTCAACTCCTGCTAATGTATAATCTGGAGTCAGTCTACTTTGGTTACTTGCCCAGAGAGAAGGATTTGAGACATGCACCACAGAAGGGAATTCTTCGCACTCCTGGAAAGGGGGCCTTTTCTTCTAATAGGCTCCCTACCCCTCCTTCCTTGGTTTCTCTTGGCTCTTATGGTTTCCTACCACCTCTGAAGCCTCAGAGGTGAATGGCAGGGAGGGATATATACTTCTGCATGGATGTGAGCCTGACAAGTCTGCACACCTGGTCTTCCTCACTTCTTGCTGCCCCTTCAGGGTCAGGATTTCCTGGTGCAGAGCACACATTCCACATCAGTCCATAGTAGGTGTGAGTCTCAGCTCTGTCTTCTCTAGCTGTGTGACCTAAGACAAGATTCCCAACTTCTCTCTGCCTGCTTCCTAGTCTGCAATGGAAATGGGAACTCCAGCCTTTCCGTTTGACATTCAAAGTTGAGTCAGCACAGAGAGAATCTGGCAAGAGGATCGCTGTGATCGCAACTGCTGAACAGCCTTTAGTGCCCATGTCTTCTAGGTCTTTAGTGCTGGACAAAGGAGGATAAGGACAGGGTAGGGGTCTGTAGCCAAATTCAGAATTTGAGCAGACCCCACTGCTTTCCCCACATAGACTGAGCTGCCCTGAAAAGGAAGCGTGAGGTTGGGGAGGTGCCTCCCTCCTGATCACCACCCTCTCACTGAGCCTGGGCATCCTCAGAGCCTCCTCAGCACAGGCAGGTGGTGCTGAGAGTGAGCTGTGAAACAAGACCCTCACCCACCCCTTGTTGAGAACCGACACTGAAACAGCATCTGCCTGCACTGGGGTGTTAGGTGGGATAGACGGTGAGCCAAAGCAGGGAGGGTGAGGAAGATATGTGTCACCCACTAATTCAGCAGTCCTGAGCCTGGTCCAGTTCTATTGCCAGATATTCCAGCATCACAAGAAACGCCATGCTAACATGTTGGAATTCTAGGTATTATTTCCACCATCTGAGAAAGGCCTTTCAAACTGTATTCATCCCAAGGCCTAGAAGATGGGAGGGGGTCTACAGCACTCAAGGAAAGAACCCATGAAACAAGTTTGGCTAATTGCTTGCCTCTGTCCACTATCTGTTTTATGAGAGGGTCCCTTGTGCTTACAGAAAGAGTCCATGGGTAACTTTGTGTAACTGCCTCAACTTAAACTGTCTCCTGTCATGGGTATATTTTACAAGATGACCAAGTGGGGTATGAAGGAAGATAAGCATTCACTCTAATGACCCCCACATATACCTATGTTTGAGTAGTCCATCCCCTTGGAAGCTGGCACCACTTTTACCCACCAGTCAATATGTAAACTCTTCCCCCCAATCTCACCAACTATGTAAGTCCTCAGGACAAAGGGCTTGATGCTCTTGCCACCCAAGCTCTTGCCTTTCACCCCCACCTCAGCAACACCTGTCCCATTCCATGAGAACGTGTCACTGATAAACCCTGCTGCTTGCACACTAATACACTTGCTGATCTGTAATCATTTACCACGTCGGCAAGAAGAACTGAGTTTCTCCTGTGACAAGTGCACCCAGTCTGCATGTGGCATTCATGAAGCTCACGACACAGCAGCCTCTGTAATGCACTGTCCTTGTGCCTGAGTCCCACAGGGCTTCATACATCACTGACACCATCTTAAAATTAGTACTTACTATATCTTTTAACTTGTTTGTGAACTCTGATGAAATAATTAATAGACATGCACAATGTTGGTCATTCCTGGCCACCTGTTCCTAGATAATGTCCACAATGGCCCAGAAGCACAAAATTGCCATGGACCCAATGGGTGGGAGTCCAGCAAGATTCAAGGTGAGAACAGGGTAAACATCTACATCTGCATAAACATAAGGAAGGGTGCCAACAGCTCCCAAAGGCCACACTTCTTAGAACCAGAGCTGAGTTCAATACACAGATGTCAAACATTTAGTGAGGACCCCATCATACCCTCTCCTGCATGAGGGCGACCTAAGTATGACCCACTCCATTCCTGCTGAAGTGGGTTCACCAAAGGGGGACACCTATCCCCATGACCTGGGAAGATGATCTCCGTGCTACAGGTCTAAAGGTCACTGGCTCCATTACCGATCCGGGCATGAGCCTGAGTTGAGCATTCAGTCCCCAGTTGGGGGCGTGTGAGATGTAACTAATAGATGTTTTTTTTTCCTCTCTCTCTCTTTCCCATTCCCTCTCTAAAATAAATAAAATCTTTTTTTCAAAAACACACTTGAACAACAAGAAAGTAACAGCATGTTTTTGGAGAGGAAAATGTATAATCATCTCAATTTCCCACAGTTACCTATAAATGTATTATGATGTAGATAAAAATATCAGCAAAAAAAATTTTATTCCTCACCTGAGGACATACTTATTGATTTCAGAGAAAAGGGAAGGGAAGGAGAGAAACATCGATGTGAAAGAGAAACATCAAAAGGTTTTCTCCCCACTGGGGACCAAACCTGCAACCTAGGCCTGTGCCCTGACTAGAGCTTGAACTACAACCTTTTGGTTTATGGAATTGTTATGGGAGAAACTCAGTTCTCCTTGCTGACACAGTAAAGAATTACAGATCAGCCAGTCTATTCATGAGCAAGCAGGGTTTACTAGTGATATGTTTTCATGGAAGAGAACAGGTCTTGCCAAGGTGGGGGTGAGAGGCATAGATTCTGGGCAGGGCAAGGTAAGGGTGGCAACAGGCAAGGGCAAAGGTGGCAAGAGCCTCAGATCCTTGGTCCTGAGGAATTATGTAGTTGGCAAGATGGGGGTGAAGAAGTGACATATCAACTGGTGGGTAAAGGTGGTGCCAGCTTCCACAGGGGACGTGACTACCCAAATGCAGGTATGTGTGGGGGTCTGTTGGCCTGAATCCTTATCTCACCCCAGAGCCTATGTGTTCCTCTTATAAAACAAATACGTGACAGAAGCCAGTTGAAGCTGGGGCAGTTATCCAAAATTATTTACGGGCTTTCTGGAAACATTAGATACTCCCTTGTAAAACAGATGGTGACCAGAGGTAGGCAAGTAACCAAAGTTGCCTTGTGGCTTCTTCTTAGGGCACTTTGGACACCCTCCCACCTACCAACCAGACCTTGGAATTAACACAGTTTAATTACAAGGCTTTCTTTCCCAGGCAGTGGGGAAAATACATAGAATTACAATACATAGAATTTCCTTCTCCTGTGCTACCATGGCGTTTCTTGTGACGTTCTGAACACTTGGCACTATTATCAAATCAGGCTCAGGACGGCTGAGTCAGTGGGTGAGACATGTCTCCCTCCTCCTCCTTGTCTGGGTTTGCTCTCTATCCTCCCTAACAGAACAATACTCCAGCAGATTTAGCCACATTGGCCAGGGCTCAGCAAAATTTCTTAAAGTAAAACAAGCTCAATTTAAGTGCACCTGTTAAAATAAGGAAGCATTAAAAGGCATAATGTATTATGAAACTACAGTAAACTAAGTAAAACTTTTACAGTAAGTAAAAGAGTGGAGTACTGTCCTGTGAATAGACAGATAGATGGAAAAGAAGGTCCATTAATACATGCAGATCTACATGGAAATTGTGTTTAGTTTAGTTTTTTTTAATTTACTGATTTTTTTTTAATTTGGAACATCTATCCTTTGCCTCTCACATGCTCCCAACTGGGGACCTGGCCCACAACCTGTCACAGGTGGGCACAGGTAACCAGGTTCTTGGTGATCAGAGACAAAGAATTGAACTGAACACAGAGAGTTTATAGCAGGAAGAGAGAGCAGATTTATTAAGCAATAGTATACTCCATAGAACATGGGAGCAGGCTGACTCTGAACAGAGATTGCTCTCAGGGGCTGGAGGGATTCTATTCTTAAAAGGCTATTCCTGGCAAGTTTTTGGGGGGTTTTATTGCCCATGTACAAGGGCAAGTTTTTGGGGGGTTTTATTGCCCATGTACAAGTAGTTATATTAATTTAAAGCTACTGCACATGTGGTTTCCCATGATTTTCCTTGTTGACCACTGGGGAAAGGGGTCCCGCAAAGCTGATTTATTATGCTATTACAGTGAAGCAGAGCTCATGTAGCACCTTCTGCACACTTGCATTCGTGATTCACCATGAATCAGTGCTTTCCCAGAAAGCAGGAACAACTGGTCTTAGAATAGGGTCCCTGTCCTGTACCAATGTCCTTCACCTTAGCCCTGGAGCACCTCCAGTTTGTCTCCTGCCTCAAACCCAGGCATGTGCTCTGACTGGGAATGGAACTGGTGACCTTTTGGTTTGCAGGCAGACACCCAGCCCACTGAGCCACACTAGTCAGAGCCATTGCTTGAGTCTTGCATGTGGCTTGCTCATGCAAACCTTGTCCCCCACTCTGGGTGAAAAAAACCTGTAGAAACATAAAAAAAACTTCACATGAGCCCTGGCTGGTGTGGATCAGTACAGTGAGCACCAGCTTGAGAACCGAACAGTCACTGTTGGATTCCCAGTCAGGGATCATGGCAGGGTTGTAGGCCAGATTCTCAGTTTAGAGCATGTGAGAGGCAACCAATCAATGTATCTCTTACACACATCAACACATCCATGTTTCTGTCCCTCTCTTTCTCCCTCCCCTTCCCTCTCTTTAATAATACATAAATAAAATCTTTAAAAAATAAACTTAACGTGAGCAGCAAAATTGGATTCAACATTTAGGGACGATCCACTATACCCAGCTTTCCTTCTGATCTGCACCAGGGTGTTTTCCCAACGTGGACACCAGATGGCAGAAGAGAGGCGCACTTGGAACATTTTTTCAGTGATCATATTGTATGTACTGTAAAGCAAGTTTCAACAAACTTCAAAAAATTGAAATTATGTAAAGCTTATTGTTGCCATTAATTGCACTCAATCTAGAAATCAGTAACAAAAGTTTACTAAAAAGTCCTTATTTTTAAGAGTGATGAAATGCACGTTTAAATAACACTGGATTCCACATTCCTAGATGATCCACTACTATACCTACAACTTTCTTTGCAGACCTGCACTGCTTTATTCCCAAATTGAACACCAGATGGCAGCAGAGAAGCACATTGGTACTATGAAGCAAGTTTCAACAAACTTCAAAGGATTGAAATTACATAGAGTAACGTTTCTTGCTCTCATTACAGTTAATCTAGAATTCAGTAACAAAGGGTAACTGGAAAGTCCTTGTATTTAGAAGTTATGCAACACACTTCTAATTTACTTCCAATAAGTCACTACTGTAGTGGAAAAATCATTTGAACTGAAAGGCACCACCACATACCAAGAGCTACAGGGAAACGGGCCGTCTTCAGTGCACACAGTAGGAAAGGACAGAAGCTGGTGCTCCAATGGCTCTGAACCCACACAAAGAACCCCGCGTAGTGAGTCCAATCCAGAGAAAGTAGCAGGAAGGAAATGTGCAGGTACAGATGTCTGGGAGAGGATACACTTTAAGTGGTAGCAGTTAATGTTCCTTCGGGTAGGGTTTTAATTAACTTCATTTTTCTGTATAGTTTCAGTAAGCTGCAACAAACAAAGCCATTTTCATTTTTAAAACAGTATCAGAGAAAAACATGGACTAGTTTTAGGGAATTATAAACAATTCCATATAGAATATTTGTAATAATTGAATTATAATCATCTAGACTGTTGTGGGGGGCACCAGAAGCCTTTTCTTTACTCAACCAGTTGGGTCTCTTGACAGACATCAGGGAAAAAATTCTAACCGTTTAGACCGAAATGGCCCCTTTTCTTATTTGCACTTCTTCATGTGCTTTGCAGCAGTTCTGACAGAGGAAACTGCCACCCTTTTCATCTAAAGGTGATGTGAACCTGGGCCTGCCATTTACAAGCTACATTCTTTTGGACATGGAAGAAGCCTCCCAGGGTCTTTGCTTTGTCACGTGTAACGTTTCTCGTTTTTGGAGCTCACAACATTTATGTCTGAAGCACCTAGACTTCAGACTTGGCTTTGCCTCCTGAGAGCCTGTGAGGCTGGCCCTGGCAATGTTCACTGAACTGGGACCAGAAGTTGTGTGGTCCCAAAGCTGGAACAGGGTCTACGTAGTGTGCTCGCAAGAAGTGGTCCCACAGGAATGGCTCACTTATGTGGAGATCTCACACTCCTACCGCACAGAGCACCCTTTGCAGCTCCTCACAGACCGGCTGCAGCTGCTCCCTGTCCCCACTCACTTCAAACACCCCCAGCGCCCCCCACCCCCGCATCCACTCACCGCTCACCTAATTTTCCATGGGCTGGCCTTACCCTAGACATTTCATTTCAACCTGACAGTTGGTTTCACACTAAGGGCAGGGTGAGTGTGGGCCCACACACAGGGTCCCTAACCCTAAACCTGACCCTCACCTTAACCCTAACCTACTATTTACACAACACTCTGGATGAAGACCGCCCTTTTGAGTGGCAGGTGGTGGTTCCATTCTTTTGCACCCCACCCCCATCTCTTCAGTTCCATGTTACTGTAAAGTATCAACTGTTCATCCACCCTCACAATTTGCCTTCGAAACAACGTTTTCCTTACGTTTCCATAGAGAATCCCACATGGAAATGCTGTCAGGAATGGTGGTTGGTTTTTTTCCCCCACATCACTGGTGTGGAACCCAAACACCAGAACAATGAGCATAACCATCCTGGTGCAAACGATTTTCAACAACTGATTCGGGTCTTTGAGCGTGTGGCCTGCCTCCCACGTGGCCTCACATGGTCTGTCCTCAGGGAACATCTGGACTCGATGGCTCCACTGCACCTGGTCTGTTCGCCCCGGGGCATCTCCATGTGAGAAACCTCCCGCACAAAACGCTGCAAGCCGCTCCTGACATATTCAATCTGTCACACCTTCTCATACACGCCCAAAACCTTTTCTTCTGTTTACTGCCATTTTCACACTTCTTCAAATACCAAAGCCTAATGTACTAAAAATAGTACTCATGCTCATCCACGTTCAGTATGAAAATAGTCACACAAACACTCAAGAATTTTGATGAGTTTTTGTTAACTCACACTGATACGACATTTGGCATGCCAGTATAACAAAATGGTTTCAAATGAAGTTAACGACAGGTGCATGAACCAGAGCCACGTGACGGGGGTGGGAAGATGGGGGATGAAGGTGGGGGTGAGGAGGGAAAACTAACTTTTTGGCCAACCGCGTATAAAGCAGGCTTCGCCCAGCATCGCAGCGTTGGGCTCATGTCGAGTGTGTGTTTTGCTCTCACAGCACTTAAGCTGCAATTCACTGAAAGTGGGTGAATGACTAGAAATGACAGCATATTCACTGCTTTGTTCCACTGCCCTCTGCCATCTTTCAGGCTAGGTTACTTCGCCATTCCATCTTCCCACCACATTTTATACTTTGGAGCAGATATCTCCCAGGTGCCATTCCACAGAATGAAAAATTTTCTCCATTAAGAGAATTTTTGAAAGGCTAAAATAAATGGCAATCCAACGAGGCACAGTGGGTGAGTGCTGCAGATGAATCAGAACAGCCAAGCTGCAACTGTTTTCTCCTGGTCACCACAGAGAAACGTGTGTTCTTGCCTTATCCTGTCTGAAGATCACGTGTCTCCTGCTGACACATTCAGGCCTCTTTCCCTCAGGTGGTGCTTTCCATGGGTCTGAGGCAGAGCAGTACTTGCTGGTGAGGAGCTCCCACGACAGGACTCCCTAATGACCCCACCACATACACAGAATCACCTCCTTTGGATGCAGACCGCCCTTTGGACTGGATGGGGGTGGTTCCCTCCATGTGCCCACAATGTCTCCTGTTCCACACTAGTGTCAACTATCAACAGTTCATCCTTCCTCCCAATTTGTCTTAGAATTGGAAGGTTTTCCTTACATTTCAGTAGAGAATTGCATGTGGAAATGTGGCGAAGAAGGTATCCCCCCTCCTCCCTGCTTAACTTCTGTGGAACCCAAACATCAAAGCACTTAATGTAACCATGCTAGTGCAAATGATTCTCAGTGCTATTGATTACAATACTTTGAGTATGCCCTGGCTGGTTGTAGCACAGTGGATTGAGCGCAGGCCTGCAAACCACACAATTATGGTTCAATTCCCAGTCAGCACACATGCCTGGGTTGCAGGCCAGTTCCCAGCAAGGGACTCACTAGAGGCAACCATACATTGATATTTCTCTCCTTCTCTCCTTCCCTTCCTCTCTAAAGATAAATAAATAAAATATTTTAAAAAACAATACTTTGGGTATGTCACCTGCTCCCGCCTGCCACGATGTGGTCTGTCCTCAGTTAACGTCTGGACTGGATGGCTCTCCACTGCAACTGGTCCATGGGACCCAGGGGGCAACTGCACAGAAGTCGGCAGCATGAAACTTCGCAATCCGCTTCTGACACGTTCGGTCAGACACAGCACCTTCCACATACACACCACAAACCTTTTTTTGAATTTCAGTTGTGTTTTCACCTTTCTTGAAATGACAAAGCCTAATGTGCCCATAACGTTGCTATGTTCATCCATCTTCAGTATGAAAATGGCCACACCAATATTCAGGAGTTCTGGTCAGATTTTTTAATGCATGCTGAGATGACAGCTGTCACAATAAAGTAAAAAAAAAAATGGTTTCAAATGAAGTTAAAGACAAGTCATGGCATCAACCACGACTCCAACCCTTAATACAAACCCCGAACCATGCCACGCACCAGACACTGGACTTGGTGTCCGAAGCCTGTCTCTGACTCCAGATGCCTGGCTCTGCACATCATAGCACAAAGAACAGCATGTCCTCCTATTTAAACCTGTAAACCTTTGAACATCTAATGTTCATGTAAAACATAAACATCTAATGTCTAAAAATATAAAGCAGGCTTCTGTAAAAAAACAACATATTAAATCAAGCAAATTAAATGATGCAATGATATGCACATTAGACATGAGATGCCTGAGACTGCTGCTGGCCTATCACAGCATACTCTTCCCAAGCAAAATTGATTAAAGTAAATGAGCAAATGTGATGTCCTCCTGATTGAAAAGTTCTGGGTAGTGGGAGAAGCTACTTGCACAGTAAGAAAACCACCCATGGAATTGAAGAAAATAGCTGCACATTATACTTTAGATAAGACTCTTGTTACCACAAAACAGAACTTTATAACTATCAATGGAGAGATAGCTATATATTTAAAGAGCATGAACAGTCCCTTGTAGAGAGAAGACATACAAGGGGGGGGGGTAAAAAAAAATCTGAGGAGACATTTGATGCCTGTATCACTGCACGATACCCTTCCCAGTCACTACAAAGGCTATAAATGAAGAAGCAAAACAGAAATGTTTGTAATCACAAGCAAAAAATGATTGACCATTTCTTTTCTAAATGTAAAATATTGTAGACCTTGTATAAAATCCTTTGGCATTTCCTCAAAAATTACCCTACTGTGTTCAATAACTCCACTTAGAAACACATGCCTGAGAAGTTAAAGACAGATGTTATAACAAACTTATACACGATTACTTATAACAGCACTGTTAACAACAACCAAAAGTTAGAAAGTGTTCAAATGTGTACCCACAGGTAAATGAATACACAAAATGTGGTTTTTCTGTCACCAAAAAGGTACCAGACCCAAAACAGTTTTCCTCTGGCAAGGTCTCATATGGGTAGATTCTTGACTTTGTGCAATAAAAATGTCACAACACTGAGCTGGGGCATTTTGCAAGTTTGTATATTACATGTAAGGACAATGAAACAGAAAGGGATTCAGAGAGAAGGGGTGAAATCACAGCAACAAGAGTGAGCATAGGCAGAGCTGCCTGATACTACATGCCAAAACCTATGAAAAACATCTTCACCCCTAAATGCACAGTATCAAAAATAAAA